TCTTCAATGTTACTATAACACTGAGGTGCGAATGTTGCTGTCTGACTAACAAAAACACGCTAATTTGTTGTTTTAGCTCTCTTCTGTCTTCCAGCACCACTCTCGGCGCAGAGCCTTTGGTTGTAATTATCTGTGCGGTTGGAAAACTTTGTTTCTGACTGGAAATTTTCTATCGGGCAGAATCCAAAACTTGGCAGCTTCTTTATTTTATATTTTTCATATGTGTTAGTTGGGGCAACGAGTTGAACACGTGCCACTCCTGAATAGGATATGTTATTTAATTTTTCATTTTACACACGTGTTACGTAATTACACGGAAATCCTCCATTTGTGCCCATGTTTCCAAAGTAAGTAGAATTCCGAATGCTTAATGTCAGTGAGGATTTGAAATTCGTTCTAATTTCGTAACGTTCTGAAGAACTTATTTGTCACCATGTGTGTGTATTTCAGAACCGAATCCTTGCGTCACTTTTTAAATAATTTTTCTGTGGGTTCATGTAACGCAGGTTACTTCTGTCATTGCTTGTGATATGAATTCTTTTAATACAATAAACAAAAGAACATCTCCCCTGTGCACACTGTTTACGCGTGGAAGTGTTTCATAAACACACAGCAGAATAAATTGGCATGTCTGAAGCAATCGCAGGGATATACAGACTGTGTGTGTCAACTAACGTGACGTGCAACCTCGCATTCACTGGCCTTTGATAGCACGTGGTTCTCCTTGTGGGACACCCTGAGGAGGCGTACGCCCTTGGTGCTAATGGACTGTAAACAGCTTACGTCACGAGTCTTAGCAGAACGTGTGTTGAAGTCATCAGCACTCTGCCTTGTCGTAGAAGGTTCAGGCCCTGTTCACTCTTCGATCCAGTGACTGCGGTTCAATTCTTGTTACAATGTTTGCAATTCCTACATTTTGTCCCACAGAAGAGTTTAAAAAAATGTTTAAAGGTGGGGTCCGCAACATCAGTTGTTTTCCACAAAAAATAATAAGAGGACTATTTTTGAGAAGCCAGTCAAATGTGTGCGCTTCTGTAGGTCGTCATTCGATGACGCCGTTGCCAAGTTTGGTCGTTCAGAAGCAGCCATTGGTTGATGCAACTGTTTCTGCGCGCTTACCGGTGACGCATTTTCGTGTATTATTATCCCATGGAGTGGGAAGGTTGTAGCGGTCCATTCGTGGTTGTCCAACTTTCGTTCGCGATAACCTTTTTACATTCCGTCTTCCAGTTTCTCATTTCTGTATCTTTCACCGTCCGTTTTTTACTTATCTTCCTTTACTGTTCATCGTGTCTTTACATTGTGTTTTGTTTGTGATCTTGCTGCGCCGTTCGTTCATGTTTTCACAACAGGTAGTAGTATTTGACGTCATTATTCTTAACTGAGAACGGACCTTGGACCTCGTGTCTAGCATCCCGTGGCAAGCCGAACAATTGTATGTGCTTGCACTGCGCATGAGCAGTTAATGAGTGGCCGTTCACAACGTAAGGTGGTGCACTGTTGCTAGACGTATTTCAATGGGGCTGAACGATATAACTGATGGGCCTGTTGCAGTGGGCCTCATGAATAATACCCGTTCCATGGAGTCCATCCCGGAGGATGACAGCGGGCTGGTGGCAGGCATCGTCATAGCTGTGGTCACCATCGTGCTGATCCTGGCAGCCCTGGTGAGTTGCAACTATACTTCCCAGATTGAAATAACTATAAAAGTTTACGGGGAAAATACAGTCTCACATACCTAACCTCTTTCTTCAAAATAAGCTGGTGTTGAAGGGCTCAGACAGATGTGATGTGTTTATGCTTGAACAAGTAAGTAAATTAAGTTGAAGTTCAGTGAGAGGTGGACATTAACCACCTGTCCAAAGAGAATATGACCTTGCTGATCCTTGCTGGTCGTTACAGCTAGATATTTTTGCCAAATTCTGCATTGTCCAGAAGAACTTATTTCGTTGTGGGGTGTTTTCTAAGCAAAATGGAAATGTTGAAATTCTTACGATTTCCCTCCAGGAAAATAGTGTGTGTTAAAATGGGCATTTTCCTAGCATGATCAGTGGGGGAAAAACTCAGGATGACATAAGCAAAGGTAATTTTTAAAGGGTGCTGCAAGTTGAGTAACTTCTTGTACTGTGGTGTTGGCATTGATAAGACTTATCAGTATCTGAAGATTGCATGGCTAGCAGGAGAAAATTGTATGGGTCTTATCTGGAAACAATAAGTTTCAGCAAAAACATGATAACTGATAATTTTGTGTAGGAAATTGAAGTTATTGAATGTTGCATAACAAAGCTATCAGTTGATGCCAACTAAAAATACAGAATGAAGTATGAAAATGCCCACTTTTCCCCAGTCTCATTGCAAGATGTTGTATGTGTATGAGAAATATGAAGGGAAGGGGGTCGGGGTCGTGATGGTTTGGACGTGTAGCTTGGATGGGAGAAACAATAGTTCAGAATTTAATGCCATGAAAAGTTCATAAACAAATGTGCATTCGACAGTAATTAAACTATGCCGGCTGGCAGTGGATACCACTACTTAATACGCTGTTTGACACTTGCAGTCTCGTTCATTTTGCGTTTAAGCCGGACTCAGGATTTGGGTGAACCGACTGGCACCAGCTCGGGCGAATGTAGCTCGTCGCTCCCCGTTAGTTGGAGAGTGACAGAAGCGTTGAACTTGGTATGAAAATGTTTTGTATTGTGACAGCTGTTTGTGCAATAAGGAATTTTCAGGTTGAACTAACACAGTGCCCTTTATTTAGAAATCACATTTTACAAAACTGAAATTTGCCCTATGGCTTCTTCTTGAAATATTTTGTTGCAGATTGCATTTGTGGTTTATCGCCATTACCTGCACAGAAATGTGACGAGTATGAACTTTGACAACCCCGTTTACCGCAAGACCACAGAGGACCAGTTCTCGCTGGAGAAGAACCAATATCAGCCGCAGAGAATTTACCCTGCCACAGTCGGAGAAGAGGTGAGAGCACTTGCTATGGACAGCTGCATCCTTAGATAATTGCGCGTCGTCCACCTGTGGGCCGACTGGCACGTTCTCATTATGTAGGCAATTTGAGCTGGAACTGTTTCAGTATGTGGTAATTTTCTCACTTGCCCATAAATGTTTATTTACGTACATGCTTTAAATATTTATTTTTAAATGTTGCGAATGTCAGAATGTGAGAGCTGGTCTGAACGACAGTCACGCATCAGATTTGAATATCGAGAAAGATACGTATATTTATTTCTATAACAATCTGAGAACAAAAATTTTCATGGAGAATCTGGCTTCGGGAGTAGGAGCTGGCATATTTTGAACCCTTTCCAAGAAAATTTCACTACAGAAACCAAAATACTGATATTTGAAAGTTGAAATCGAGCGTTAATGGTGAGCATTGCAATTTATCAGAATGATTGATATTTGTTTACTGGCTTTGATTTCGCATAAAGCTGCAGGTTTGCTTTGCTGGCCATTAGTATTGACAGCAAACAGAATCTTGCTCCCACGTGTCGGATGCCAGATGACGGGAAGGTCGAAAAGGCCATAGTTCGAGTAAGAGGCTTTACTTAGAAAACATTATATTCTAATTGTGTGCGTTGAGAGAGTTGAAGGAAATATTTCTGTCTGACAGACAGAAGTAATCTGAAATTCCGTATTCGTACACGATTAGCCGTTTTAATTGGAGTACCGTACCCTCATCTTGGAACCCAGATCACGAGAGAACGGTTTCACATCTCGAATTGAGAGAGTTTAGAGCGTACAAACAATTCCTGTGAGCTGGCCTGAAACGCGCACACAACAAAGCGATACGTCGCCGGTGTCCGCACCTTTCAACAGAGGAGCGTTTGTAGTCTTTTGTAACGGAACGAGGAGAGGATAAAATGTGTTAATGCTGCAGTTGCAGCTTCTGTTGAACTTGGCTCTGTCCTCTAGATAAGAGAACTTTGCCCTGCGCTTTGCAGATTTTTTGAAATCCCCGGTCTCTTATCTTGCTGCTGTCTATCTGTTTTTGAACTTTGCTACAGTCTTGAGTTCTGCCATTTATAAGCACATGTCATATTCTGCTCTAGCAAAGGAGCGTGCCTGTAAATTCTCATGAACTTTCAGCTGTCAGGTTCTTATGATGCTGCTGATGAACCATTACATTCCAGGGAATTTATGACAAGCTGAATAATTGTAAGTCCATATTAATGAAGCCGACCAGTCCGTTATAGAAGGACGCTTTATAGAAATAGAAATGTGTCAGGACATGCATTGTCTAGTTTGACAACAAAACGGCATGCTAAAGTTCATTGTCGCGGTTGGTCGTTCTTGTCTTGTGTACTGATGGCCCTGAGTTGGTCTGCGTTATTACGCTCCACTGTTATGAGGACGACAAACATTGGCTGGGCCTCAAGGATTTTATTCCCAACTCCGCAGAAATTCCGCCCAGTCCGTTAAGTTCTGCACTCTTACGCTTGGGACATTGTCTGTCTTATTTGCTACACCCAGATGTCTCTTAATTTGTTTGACAACACCATATCAGATAAGTAGGTGACGCGGCTTCAGAAACTGTGGCGTTGCCATATAACAAGTAGGTATGGTATGTTTCCAGAAGGGTATCGGATCAGTGCCTCATATGTCTCTTGAGTGCTGCAGACAGTTCAGCAAGTATTGACTGCAAATTAATTTTACCCCTGAAGATAGATTGGTGTCACACCTGATTTAATTAGAATGTTCCAATATGAAATTTCTTTTTGGTCTGTCAGTGGAGTGTTGACTGAATCGTATAAAAAGTTTTCTGTAGATTCTTTAAAAAGGTGGGATTTGAGGTTCTCACGACAGTGAGTACGAAGACGGTTGTCTTCCGTGTTGTTGCACCATGTAGTCGGATAGAAATTTACCAACATTTCAGAGGTACTTGCCGCTTCCATCATCATGGCAACGAGCCTAATGGAGGCAGCACGTACCTCGAGTATCGGTAAAGTTGTGCCGCACTACGCAGCGCTACAACGCAGAAGACTGCCATCTTCTTTAAAAACAATTTCTGTACATAAGTGAATGGTTCATGCAGAAATAACAGCGCGCTGTTGGTGGAAGGGAATTTTTTCGCTGTTTTCGTAGTGGGAATGGGAAGGGAAATGGTGGCTGATGGACAACTTTGTTAAAGATTTTCTTATGCTAATTATGAGCAGGAAATGTGAACCTTGCTGATGAAGAAACAAAGAACAATGTTTGAAATAACAGCTGGTTTATTTTAACTTCTCTATTTCTACCTCTTACCTTCTTTCAGCGTTTTCTACGCTGTGTTCAATACGGGAAAGTTTCGCCCTCTTTTATGCCCCCCCCCAATTAATTTTACTGGAATCTTTGCCTTCGTTTTCAAGCTTCTCTTAGCCTAGAAGATGTGTTTCAAAGTTGGTTTGATGGCTTGATTAAGGGAATTGTACAGTGTTCGTTGTTCTTTAGACTGTCTGGGGCAACAGCACAAACTAAAGAACTGGTATCTTCTATTCCTGAGTGTGGGTGATAACCTGTGAGTTCCTACGGACGTTTTAACAAATTGTCTCCTCCTTTGACGTTACTCTATCCGTTCTGTCTAAAGACTGATTGTTTCTTTTCTAAAGACAAACTGAGACGCCAGTATTATGCTCTGTGCCAAATAAAAATGTGTGTAGTCTTGTGAATTTGGATAAAATTTGGTAGCATTGTCATACAGTAAAATGCTTTTTACTCCTTGTTACAATTTGTTTACACGCTGTCATAATGCTGTAATTCAGTGGGGACACTATGAACCTATGGTGAGTATATTGCAGATTCACTTTTGGACTCGTGTCAGTTCAGTATCAGATTTCTCAAAATACAGTGTGCTGTGTAAGATTGTTATAAGACAGCTTATTATATAAGATTATTTTAATATGGTTACATATATAAGCATGTTATATATGTATGTAATATTCCTGCAACTTTTATTTGAAACATTTTCTGATAACTGTGTGAACTTTTGCAGGCCCAGGAGCCACTCACAAGTCCCGGAACCAATGATTATGTATAATTGGGCGCAGGCCTAAGAGAACTTTACTGTGCTGTGTTCCGTTGGCAGACTGTAGAGCCACCGTGCTCGAGCCCTTTCCGCCGATGTGCGTCGCTCAAGTGGTAACTGTGCCAAAATGCTGTGGTGACGAAGCATCACAAAATTGTTTCTTATTGTTTTAGTGATTTGCAGCATTTTATTCAAACCTAAACATGAAGAAGGAACATAAGTACAAGTTTAGTATCAAAATTCAAAGTTCTATAATTGCTTATATGTCAACACATTGGTCGCTTTGTGAATCCCAAAATTCTGACCGCATTATGCCGAGGTGTGCGGCATTGCATTTGAAATGTTCAGTGTATATAGTGACAGTGATTGGCTGCAGGTAACACAACTGAAGATGGGAGTCCAGTTAGTTTGAGATGCGGGCATGAACAGAAATCACTGGAGTGATTCTGTCACTCCTGCTTTGTAAGCTGCGGAGGACAGAGAAATTATAAGGTTTAACGCTATTTTAATGTTTGTACATACTGTATGTGGATCAAAATTTAATTGTAAGGAGGGACAGAAGAAATGTTGGTTAATGTTTATACTTCCTGTTGCTCATATAGGTGCAATTTCTCGTATCTGTGTGTTCTCGCCCCGCCCACGCCATGGTGGCGATAATGCAGCTTGTTCAATAATTACTGTGTGTGTGTGCGCGTGTGTGTGTGCGCTTGCTTGTGTGTATGTCTGATTTGGAGGCTTTTTAGTACCAACCTGGTATTGTACTAGTACAAGGTTTGCTTTGATAGGCAAATGTAATGAATCCCAAGTCTTCTGAATATTTGCATGAGTGTTCGTTTATTTGTTTGTTGCTCATGTTCTTTTTTATGTAAAGTTGTAAATACATTATTGATGAAATATGTATTGTGTTACTTGGAATAGTTGTATATAGTAAAACACGTCACTGTATATTCTCGTGGATTGTAACTCGCTCAGAATCCTGGATTTGAGTTGGACCGCTGTTCACAAGGGCCAGCTCAGCCTACTTCCCTGTTTTCCTTCAACCGAGTGCCAGGGCAGTTATTGCTGCTTCGTGAAACGTGTCGCTGATAACGCTACGACTTTAGAGGATGGGTACCAGACTGCAGACATTCTTTACAGGTCTGCAGTTGCCATTTGTTTGTGTTCATAAAATTAACCCTTTCACATTTGGTCTTCAAGGACACACGAGTGTGAATTATACTGAACTTGAGCTGCTGTTTGGAAATGAAACTTTTCCAGTCATCACTTGTTCTTTCTTCCTTGCTACTTTTAAAATGTGGTCCGTGTCAAAGTCACACACGGTATTACCTTAACATCTGTTAATGTTTATTAATTCTTTTGTCATAATTAAAAACAATCAGTCATGTTCTTTCATTTTGTGGCCCTATCACATCTACTTATTTTATGACTTAATCTCTTTTGAAGCATGTAACCCATCCATTTCTTGTGTGCATGTCTACTAGATCTCTTCCTTCAAAATTTCTTTTGTCCTGACCTAAGTGTCCCATCACCTCTTCACATCCTCTCCTATTCTCTGTGTGGGTGTTTAAATATCCTGCAATTATAAACTTATCCTTTTTAACCACATCTGCTAGATTATCAAATTTTTCCTTCAGATCCGCATCACGTCCTGCTTGAGGAGCGCGTATGTGATTATCATCTGTCAGTTCTCCAGTTAAAGCTGAGATTCCTGTCATTCTACTGTTTGTGTATTGTACCATTAATTATATTTTTTTCCAAAGAGTTTTGAAAGTATTATTGCTTCTCCATTTCTTTTTCTTCCTCCCCACACCATCATATTGGGATTTGGGGGCAGAATCCTGGTTAAGATTCAGGTAAGGAAGTTCAGAAATTTGTGCAGTATTTGTTTGGCAAAAACAACAGTAAGACTTTTAATATGATAAATTAGAATGCACGAATGCTCTGTGGACTTGATCTTTGTTGTCTGGCAGGCTGAAGTAAGAGGTACACGAAGGTCATTACATGGGATGGAACATGTGCACTGTGTTTTGACATGATGAACACATGGCTTTATTGGTGGAAACTTGCACTGCTTACAGAAAGTTGATGAGATGTTTAAAGCAGATATAGGTTGGGCATATTGAAATAGATTGTAGAGCAATAGTAGTAAGAACTGGTTCAGGACGGTCTGTGCAGCAAATCACGATCCCTGTCATCTACTGCCGGAGGTTTGCTTCATTGGAATGTATCTTATTTAAAAGAAGAATGTCAAATACAACATTTTTAAACAATGTGTTAACAAAAATTTGGTTTATATGCTCAGTATATAGTTTGAAATGTAGGTTTATAGAGGTTTAATGCAGAAGCTTTGAGAAGTACAAATTTATGAAATTCCTAATGATATTTGAGGATTTCATTTAATGTACTTTAAAGTTGAAAGGATATGAAGTGGACTGAACTGGCTGAGGAAAGCATCCACTTATGAGGGTGACAGGTTACCCTTGAATAGCAGAGCATTACATTTCTCACTTCAGGAAGATACATGAACTAGAAATTTTGTCAAAATAATGATAGGGTTTCAGAAAGATAATTACATTTTTATTGTGGTTGCATATGGGGGACATGTGTACATTATTTCCGTGAATCTCATGGAAATTTTCCATTGGGGACATTTGAAGAAGGAAAGATAACAAAATATTAAGGAAAATAGTTGCAAGAATGTGAACAGAACATGTTTAGCCTTTGTGTTAGAAGGGATAAAGTTCATGATATGTTTTTGAAAAATTAGGGTTGTTTGTAGGTTTATTGAGGTTTGTCATATTATTGGTAATTACTTTGTAGATTATGATTCTCAGTTCAAGGAAATGTTTATTTAAAATCAATCTATTTCTCTATTGTGAAATGCTAGGTTTTATCAGAAAGAGGTTATGTAAAATATATATATGTAACAACAGCATTGAGTTTCGACATTATTAGGGCAATTTATTGGACAGAACACGTAACAAGGCAAAGTCTGTACAAACAGTAATATGTACAATTTGAGGTCTTAATGGCGGCGAATATGAAGCTTACTTGTATTCAAGGTTATCTACCAATAACACAGAAAACAGCCATCTTTACCGATAATGTTATCTAAAACCTACTCCACCAAATTGCATGGTCGAAGTGGTTGTTTTTATGTTGGTACTGTTAATACCTAATAACCTCCTTTGTACATTGTTTCGTACAATGCTTTTCTTTAATGTCCAGTAAAATAACTGACGAAGTATTGTATTTTACATGGAGCTGTGAATTAAATAATATTTTATTCAACAAATATTTGTTAATCATTTGAATATCATTCTAATCAGCAAATTTTATTTTATAGCATTTTTGAACGCGTTCTGGTACCACGAAAAAATGAAACGCGATATAGCGTTCCATTGGCAGAAACCGCGCCACTGCGTATTGTGGCTGGCGTCTCTTTGTGAGGTCTGGTTTCGTGGTGTAGCTTGATATTATTGTCTGTGAAGAAGGTAATTTAAGTTAATTAAGCATATTGAACTACTATTATTTTGAGAGATGAAGTTAGTTTTGCTAGGTTATTAAAAATGAGCTGCTAATGGAATCTTGAGGGATTCTGACGATGTAATTGTATCTTATGATTTGAAACCACAACATTCAATAATTGGTTCAGTTTCCGTCGTCAGGTGACCAGTATGAAGACATTCTCGTTCTGTTTGGCTTCACTGTGGGATTAGTCTAAATTTCGGACAACAGACTGTGGCCATTACCCTGATGACGGAGGCAGTATGACCTCTGAAACGTTGGTTAGCATCGACCAGACTACACAGCGCAACAACCCACAAGACAGAAATCTTCAACAGACTATAACTTTTTTATTTCACTAGTCTACTGTAGATGGAAATAGAACCATACAAGACTTGAAGCTTTCACGGCTACTGAACTCATTAACATTTCTGGCAGCAAGCCGTGTCAGTTGTGGACAATAGTCCAACGTTTCGGAGACCATCTCTGCCTCCATCATCAGGAGTGACTTGTTCACCAAGATGATTTTGTTGGAAATAGAACCAATTTCTAGAAAGTGGCCTTTTGTATTAAAAACAGTTTAATTTATAAACTTTATAAGAATTGTTATATGTATTATTTATATTTAAAAGTAGGGGTAGGGGAGAATGTGTCATAAGTACCCCTTCAAGGTTGAATATTGAATACTTGTCCACAAGTTGAAAGCAGTTTGAGATAAGGAAATGCATACAAATTTTCATGAGGTACAAAGTTACTTATGTTTTCCAATTAGTAAAATGATACCTGCCACATGTTTTCACGTGGCTTGCATATTCACTTGTCAGGTGTACAGAAGTGGACCATTTTGCTGTGACTAGTGCTGTACTTGATTTATATACCATAGAGCTGATGTTTCAAGAATTAATTTTGATTTATTGAACTTATGATGAATTTAATATTATGATCAGATATGTACATTTCTTGCCACCTTGTAGTTTATGGAGGTTTCTGTTATGTTATATTAAGTAGAGCTCTTACATGGGTCTTGTGTGTTGGATATTTGGTGCATAACTGTGTGCGTCTTGTCAGTGTTGGGTGCGAATATGCCACATTCTGAACATCGGTATTCTTGTAATGCATTTATTCATGCACTCTTATCTTATGCTGCCATTGTGTACACTTAATGTATGTAATGCTTTCAGTTCATCATGGGGAAGGACAAAGACAGGAAGAAGAAGAAGAATAAGAAGGAGGAGGTGGTGGAATCTGACAGTACGTCTGATTCAGGGCCTGAAGATGTGAGGTTTTTTGAATGAACATCTGTATCCATTTGCAGCTTTTTTATGGTCATTGAATTGGTGTGAAGTCTGTGACAGTGCTATAAAACTTTCCTATCAATAGTGATGGGGAAATCTAAAGTTGTAAATGCAGTCGTAACTATTATCTCATAAAGCCCAGAATCTCTTAAGAGCAAATAATCACGAAGTAATGTGCCTGTTACGTAGATAGATTTATGTGATCAGTGTCTTATTTTAATTTTTCATGAAAGGGACTTTTAGTGGCCATTTTGCATAAATACTTATCACAATTTTTTGAAATTTTTTATATGTAGACTGACACATGTAAAGATGGTAAGAGTGTTGTGTTCTCGCTGGCAGGTCAATCCTCCGCCATCAAAGAAGACCAAGCCAAATACTTCTAGCTCCAAGAAAGATGATGAAGAACCATCTTGGTTCCTCGACAAGAACCGATTTATTAAAGTGCGAGAATACAGGGGGAAAGTGTATGTTGACATCCGCGAGTACTATGAAGCAGATGGTGACCTGAAGCCTGGAAAGAAAGGTGGGTTTTTCAGAACCGACAGTCAGATCCTAGGTCTTTAATGCATGTGCAGGTATGGACTTGCACTTCTTTTTAATTTATACCCCATTCGACAGGAAGCTGGGTGAACCTTATGCCAGATCTGGATGTATAAAAGAAATCCGCTGCTGAGAACTGAGTCTGTTTCCAGTTCTTCACCTGTCACTGCACTGACATAGCTGTCCTTGCTTTTGCTTTAAAGCTGGAAGGATTAAAATTAATAGAGGAACTCTCTATCACCACATCTCATTTTCAATATCAGCAGCAATTCAAATGTATAGTTTGGTAATTATCTTGTCTCTTAGTTTGAGTGCAGAATATTATGTAAAATGTTTGGTCCTGAGAGAGGAGGGAAGAGGATCATGAAGGATATGACTTTGAGAGACTTTGTGCTCTGTATTGGTGAAATACTATTGTTGCAGTATTTAAAGTAATGAGGTTATTTCGGGTGGCATGGCACAAATGAATATCACCCTTCACAGATGCCATGTTCGCAAACTAGGAAGAGAGATGAGGATATAAATATAAATCATATGCGAATGTTATAACGACGTGGCTTATGGTCATATCAGACTTTAGTGTCGGCATTGAACTGTGTGTTGCTGTAACCTGAGTTGGCCGTTGAACGCCTCTGACCGGCTGGGAGCCGTGTCTGTTCTTGTTGCAGGTATCAGTCTGTCGACTACGCAGTGGCAGAAACTGAAGAGCTTGATAAGTGAAGTGGATGATGCTGTCAAGGAAAAGTGTTGAGTGTGTGTGTCTGTATTTATGTGTGTTTCTGGTACACTGTAAGTTTCACTGTTCATTTAACTGCTGCAACTTTTAAAATATGTGTGTAAATTTTATGAGTAAAGTACAGATGTAGAATGAGCTGTGCTTTCATGGACCTCAAATTCCTTGTCCTGTCCTTTTCTTGCAGATGTCAAACAACTTGTTGACTTTTTTGTGTGTATGTTTCTTTGCCGTGGTTGGGACCAAACCATGCATTTTGACTGCTTGGAAACATAAGAACTATGTAAATGAAAAACCTTCTCTGAAATAGCAAGCTGTGAAGTATTGTCACTGGAGGATAATGTTTAGACACTGTATGCTATTGGACCTCTCACCACTTTGATTGTCTTACATGTTACTTGGTCCTTTCATTTCTGAGGTGTATCCTTAATACATAATTCCAATGAACTTCCTTCCATCTTTTCTTCTACATTTTTTCTCAGGATTTTTTACATTGTCTTACTTTCATTTATCAGTTTAGTTTCCTTAACCTCAGTTCCATCCTTAACTTCGTAAATTTCTTTTGGTTGCTGTGAGTCTGGTCTTGCCCTATTGTGTACTCCAGGTAGTGTATAGTGAATCAAGTTACCTTGGCAAGTTGGACTTTTGCCCATTCAACTACATTTTTTAAGGAGACTACATGACTTTGGAAACTGAATAAAAAGTGGTTTGCATTATTGGTATAACTGAATGATAGGCTAATGGTACAATATATATAATATGGAAGGAAGAGTAGGAGGGGATGCTTGGTGCATCAATAATGAAGCCATATTTCAGAGCAAGAAATTTCAATATGATGTGCAGAGGTGCATTGCAAGAGTGACTATATAGAATTAAATACATGAAGTGACTAATGAAATTTAATAATGCTTATGTTATAGTATGTAATTTTCTGTTCCTTGATGCTGTGTTTTTCACAATCTAACTCTAGAACAAACTGGTATTTAGCAATCATGTACTGCAGTTCTTGCTTGATGGATTGTGTAAATAAGCAGTTATTTATTACATGTATGAGGATATTCCAGTGAAGAAAGTGAAAATAAAAATTTGTAATTTAATTGCCACGTATATTTGGTTGAGAATATCCAGTGAAAAAACGAAGTACATGACGACAGTTATGAGAGACGTTAAGTTTTATTATTACTATGGTTATGCAATGCATTTATTCAGTACTCAACTAATGAGTTAGTGCCATGGATGCGCATAGATAATTCATAATTATAGTTTAGCTGCACGTACACTGTGGTCTTAACCTAACTGTGATTTGTACACAGGAACACCAACATGGTCCAAGTAGAATACTGTATATTAGTATTGTGAAGTTCATTAAAATTATTGCTTTGAATGACAGTTTATTGATTATTATTTCACAAACTTGAATAGTCATAGAAGTTTTATTTATTCCCCGACCCGTAAAGACGATGTATTTTTTGCAGTGTTAATAATGAAATGTTTCCTATGCTGTAAAATAAAAGATGGTGCTGCATTAAGGTAAAAGCGTGGCTGTTATTTGTTTTAGTGGTAATGGCGGTATCAGTGAATGATTTCCTTCCAACTTTTGAACGTTTAACGAAGAAACCTGAAGATTATTTGAGGTATGAGAATAAATAATTTTTTTATGATTCAAAATCGGGTCAGTATTTAAGCCAGCCTTGAAAGATTGCCTTTTATCTGGGTGGTAGAATTTGCGTAAATTGGAAATTCGTAAATATCTGTAAAATCACGTGCTTGTCTTTGGAGTAGCATGAATTATTTTATTCGTATTATAACATGTTCCACATCCTTGCCTTATACTTTGAAAAATCTGTGGATTCTTAATACTGTTCGGTTATATTATCTAAGGTGGATGTGTGTTTGATCGTAACAGGGTCTGAGGCCCATCCAGTTCATATAAAAGTCTGTTTCTCGGAGAGTAAAGCTGGCTGCTCATCCGAATTTAGTATTGAGTTTAAAAATGCATGCCACCATAAGGATACTTGATGTGGTGCCTACCAGAATTACAACCAAAGTTTCACGTTGTTTATAATCTGAGTGGTTTCTCTAATGTCTTTATGATTTCCTCCCATGTCATTATACGTGTTTGTGCCGTTATTTAATACTGGTATAAATTTTCTCATTGTGAATAGGTTTTTTCTGCCTCAATAGTAAATTTGTGATTATTTGATGAAATGTTCAGTTATACCTAATTCTTTATTGTGTTTAAATTACTGTAGCTTGTAGTTTTCTTCTCCAATGTTAAGTACTGTCCCAGTATCCGCATGTGAAAGCCACGCATGTAACACTTCCTGTTCACCACATTCAGAATGTCTTGTTTCTTTATCAGAATATCCAAAAATATGCTGGGGTTCTAATTCCTATAACATTACATTGTACTACAACATACAACTTAGCTGTTGTCATGGTTCAGTGTGCAGGCCAGTGTTGCCCCAGATGTGAGGGAGTTCCTCAAGAGGCTGTATGACTTTACAAAGTTTGTGGAGGATGACCTACCGTCTGGTGATGCTCTCCCAGAACTGATTTTACAAGGCTTTGATGAGGAGCAGATCTGGCAGGAGTTAGAGCTGCAGAATGAGGCACGGAGAGATGGGCTGGTGGCCAACATTGTGTCTCTTGTGGCCCACAAAGATCGCCTCAAGTTTCCTATCCAGCTGAAGAATGGAGAGAGAGAGAGTGATGATGTGTGCAGTGGTGGGCAGCTGCAGGGCCGGGAGGAGGACGACATCAGTCGAGACAGCCCGTCATCAGTACCAGAAAGTGAGACAGACATGTTGGCTGACCAGGGATCTTCCATCAGGAAACGGAAAGGTCAGTTTGTTTGGTGTGTTGGTCTCCCTGCCCATGAACTTGCATTGTGTAGTTCTTTTGTGTATTGTGTTATTTATTTATAGGTTATGTAATGAATGTGGCAATTGTGACGTATTTGAGGTAATGCCCTAGCATTTAGATTCAGAGAGTGAGGAACACCACAAAGCCTCTTTCACAGTAGAGACCAGTTGAGGTTCAGAATATTGTGGTCTGAATAAAAGGCTGCGTTGTTTTTACTGCACAGCATCAGTTATCAGATAATATTGTTTTTGTAGGTTAGATTTGGTTGATTGTTATGTAGGATTTGAGGTTTCCACAGTGATGTGAGCACAGTTGGTGTATTCTTTCGGCTGTGTACAAGTTCCGGTGGAATGTAGGTACTGCTTCCATCTTCAGGATTGATGTGAGGAGTGTTAGGAAGGAAGTGGGTGGTTTATCCACGTTTAGATGGAGGAGCCCGGTGGGGGAGATGGTGCCATGCCTAGAAAATATGATATTGAACAATCCACAGAAATTCTACCGTCTTTAGACTTTTGGCTCATAGTGTATTTTATTCATCTATGAGCCGGCATAGCTCAATCAGCATAGTGACTAGCTACGGACTGGAAGACTCAAGTCTGATGCCTGATGGGGGCAGAGGATTTTTCCTCTAGCCTCTGGGTCCAGACCCTCAGCTTATATGTTAGGGAGGGCTCCAGAACCCTTCAGTGTCCCATGGCTTTCAGATCTACTTTATGTGTTGCAGTACAGAATTATCCGTCCGTAGTGGATGATCAGTTCTTTAAGCTGAGTGAAATGGAACATTTCCTGGAGCAAGAGGACCGCCGTGAGGCTGGCCAGGACAGCAGCAGCGATGAATCTGTTGACTTCTTCCAACCATCACACAGTGATGCGGATGAAGTATGCATTTGTTTGTTTGTTTTATCAACTGTAACCTTTGTTTTATTTCCTTTTATGTCTGTCTAATGGAATTTAAAATTGAGGAAGTTGTAAAAGTTGCTTCTCAGTTGTTTTAGTGTTGTTCTCCAAAATCTATAAGTATGCAGTAAAATACTGTGTTGAATTAATTCCCAAATATTAAAACAATTTATCCGTTGTGGCAAAATATTGTGTCATTAAATCGGTGTGATGGGGCACTAATTTTCATTGAGTTAGGCCGGTTTATTGATAAACAGACTTTTATTTAAAGTATGATATTACTATTACTAATCAGTTTACAAGTACAGTGAAATGAAAGTCTGTGTGATGTAAGTACTCAACGAAATACCATCCCCAGTTTCATTTTGTCATAAAAGTGACAGGCACTGCCCTAGGCTTGATCAGCAGCTGCCATATAAATGGCTTAGCTGTGGCAAAACCTAGTTGATGAGGTTAGTTATTTTATTTTGTTATGTGCTTAATTACCAGTTAGTTTAATTGGTACGCTGTATAGTGTAGTAGTTTTGCCTTCTTGGTAGCCAGAAGTAACATTGCCAAATAAACCGCTGTTGATTTCTGAGTTTCTGTACTGTGTCTGCAGGAGGCAGAGCATCCGCACTACGTTGAATTCTTTGATGCACCACACGAAGATGGAGATGACCACGACCTCCAGCGTGAGAGTGAAACGGAGAGGATGGAAGTGGAAGAGGAAGATAAAGGTAGCGCAGAGGGAGAGACTGATGAAGAGGAGGAGGAGACACAAGTCAAGAGAGTTCGGTGAGCCATCTGATACTTGAGGTGGTCGGTTAACTGGCCGGAGTGTTTGCGTTCGGAATTGGTCCGGTCTGCCTGGCACAGCAGTGAATTCCAAGCTGTTGATCTGTTACCAGTTTGTAAAGCTATGGGTAATTTAATGACAATGTACCAAGTGTGTGCATATGTAGTATCAAATACCACAAAGGTGAGCATGTGTTTGAAGTGGGAGTGGCTGGGGTGAGACTATGGTGCGTTTCAAAATACCATCTTGGAATGTGCCTATAAATGACTGAGAGCAATCATTATGGGTTCTTGGATATTTTGAAAAATCAGATTGTTTATCACCAGAACACATGTTTGAGATTGATGGACACGTGTTTCAGGTTTAATGAAATACAGACTTCCGATGTAGAAAATGATACAGTAGGAGCCAAGTCAAGTATGGAGATGAGACAGGAGCGTCTCCGAGCACGACTAGATCAGCTGGAGGATCAGGCATTGGCTGAGAAACCTTGGCAAATGAAGGGGGAGGTCTCCGCTTCTTCTCGACCACAGAACTCGCTGCTGGAGGAAGTTGTTGAATTTGATTTGACCACAAGACCAGGTGAGTTGTCAGATGATAATGGTCAAGAGCTTGTAGTTGGTATTACAAACTTTTCAGGTACTGGAAATCCGTCTTCATTGGCGTGTATTATCGAGAAGCATGGTAGCTTTTAGAGTAAAGTGGGAATTACAAGTTCATATCTTGTTTTGAACAGCAGTAAGATGCCCTTGTTGCCATATGTTGACTCTTTGTGGATTGGTTGAGATTTCATTGTGGTAACATTGCGCCATCTCCTGCAGCCCCGGTAATCACGGAACAGACGACATTGCAGCTGGAAGACATTATTCTACAGCGGGTGAAAGACCGCGCGTGGGACGATGTCGAACGGAAAGTTAAACCTGTGGAGACCCCTAATGAGTACAAGAAGAAGCTTGTTCTGGATCAAGAAAAGAGTAAATTCAGTCTGGCCGAGGTGTATGAGCAGGTCAGTGCTGCAGTGTCTGTTTGCTCACAGGACAACTTCAAAAAAGTTGACCAGTTTCAGGGAGCGGCCATACATACCTTTATTATTCTCATCGCATTTGGGTGGGAGCAGCGCACATTCATGATTTTGGATCTATATAATTCTACTAGTTTTCTTGAAGTGTGACACAGAGCAGTATTATACAAACTGTTTCTCTACTAGTTTTCTTGAAGTGTGACACAAAGAACAGTATTATACAAACTGTTTTCAGCTACGGCACACCCCAATTTGTCAAAGATGTGTGACATCACACCACGAAATGTCACCTCATGTAAAGGAGGTATGGAAGTACACGTGGCCATAAATTTGTACCTGCATAAAAGTCCTTGTGTGAAAACAAAATGTAACACATGTTGAATAAAATTGTCAATGGTGAACCGTTGCGTGCGTGTGAACGCTTTATAAACTCTAATTACGAAGGATAAGAGGTTTACTTCTAGCTGTAACGGGCTAATATACAATTTCTCATAACAATTTTTAGCACGCCTGAGACCTTGTGGTGGCACACTGGTTTGTGGAACACTGACATAGAGAACTATTTTTCATTTAAACGTGGGAACACCTGACCTATTGTACGTGCTCCTCTGATGGTCTAAATATCTTACAGACTGCCCACTGAAGTTTCATTTGAATTAGGGAGAAATGAATTTAAGATTTTTTTTTGTATATTCTTTTGTCATGTGTCTTGAAGCATAATTTTTATGAACCCATATTTGAACTCTGTGTGACTGATGTATATAAAATTACTATCACCTGTTTGAAACTGTTATAGTTGTTAATTGATGTTTTATCTTGTATTGAATTTTTGTGGTGATTTTGTATAAACATGGCTATTGTTAATATGAGTGGCATTAAAACCTGTAAAGTCTGGTCCTTCAAGACCTTAAAATTTATCAAGAAAATGGATTACATTTTTAATATTCGCTTTAGCTTTACAAGTACTATAGACAGCATAACTTGTTGCCATCGTGAGAGTTTGAGCATCTTTTTTTGTTGGCGTACGATTAATTGTACAATAACTTGTGATAATTTGGTATCTTCAGGAGTACATTAAGCAGCGCCAAGCACAGGAAGCTGCAGGTGACGATGGTCGTCCAGAAGAGGAGCCGCCTGAGCACCGCGTAGTGCGGACCATGATGTCATCTCTGTTCTCAATGCTGGACGCGCTTTCCAACTTCTATTTTACACCTAAACCAGTACGTTTGCTGCTGAGAATAGTTTAGATATGGAACTCTGTTTTAAACTTTTAATGACAAAATTGCTTTGCCCATTTTGTGCAAGGGATGACCCACGATGGGTAGTCACATTTCTGTCTCAACAAAGGTAACTTGTTGACTTCGGTTGTGTCATTATGTTGACTGGTCAGTTTATGATGAAGCGTCAATAAAGTGATGGGGAAAAGCTGGTCTACTCAGAGTAACTTTGTTTACGTGTCCGTTTGAGATTGAAACCGCGCCTTTCAGGCGAGAATGTGAGCAGTGGCTCTGTCATTGATGATTATTCTGGCTATACAATCAGATTCTCCTACACCAAAATGCTTGATGACGAGAGGTTATGTTCACTTTCCACATTGCAGCCGGCACCAGAAGTAAAGATTGTGAGCAACCTGCCTTCCATCACCTTGGAAGAGGTTGCCCCTGTGGCCACAAGTGATGCTGCCCTACTAGCACCAGAAGAAGTACGAGGTAACTATCGATTGCAGGGTACAGCTATTTTGGTGATATTTGAATTTTAAGCAGTTATAATATTTAACGTTATATTTGCGTATGAGGATGCACAAGTACAGTTTTGATTGCATAGGCAGAAGTAAAATGAAAGTGGGTTTCATTACGCACTATGCATAAGATTCGGTCAGAATTTACATTTACATTTACATTTTGTATCTCTGTTTCTGTTCATGGTGTGATGTTTAAGGCATGACATCCAAACTGCACTGTTAAATTTGTTTTTATATAACCCTCTGCACTTGATACATTGTCATTAAATCAAGTGTGGTAAATGCGGGAGCACCACATTTACGTTGCTCTGTGTAATGGCAGAACGACCCAAAGGGGATCTCATTGGCAAAGCTGAGCGTACCTCATCTGACAAGAAACGGGAACGTCGACAGAAGAAGATCAGACAGAGAGAACGGCAGCGTGAACGAGAGAAGAGGGAACGAGATGTTGAGAAGCTACGGCCAGGCCTGGGGAACAAGTACAGCAAGGAGCAAGCGTTGCGAGACCTGGAGAAGGTCACAAAGAGCAGCAGTGTTACACAGGTACAGTTGCCTTTAAAAATATGTAGGTATTAAATTAAAATAATATGTACACTATCAGAAACAATAGTGTGTTGCCAGTGGAATGCAGATGACTCGGAGGAGGAATAGTGACTGACGTTACTTTCTTGTATAGTACTCAGAAATTTACTCTTAGAATAAACAGTGATTACTTCCCTAAACTATTTGAGCCTTATAATGGAGACATGTAGTGTCTTCGTAGGATTTGTGGTTCTCACAGCGGTGGGTACAGATGTGACTGTCTTCTGGGTTGTACCACCGCGAAGTTTTAAATATTATATAAACATGCTTTGGTTTCAGAGGATTAAGATAATTTTTGATAGGTGCACTTTCTACGCTTTACTGCTCTGACCGTCGTCTGTAATTGATTGGTGTACTATATCATGCGAGGTGTAGTGGTTATGCTGGCGTGAGTTGCTTTTGAATAATGGCTTTTGTGCTTCAGTTAGTGTGGCTTACCATCTTTGTACCTGAGTTATAATTTTGCGATCTAAGGTACGCACACAGCTTATAGTGTGGGAAATATGCAGACCTGCTTTCTGCAGGATGTTCAAACACACTTTCTTGTTGCTGCAACGCAGGTTGTTGAGAAGAGTAATGCGAAGGCTGTGCGGTCATCAACAGCGTTCTTCAGCCGTCTACAAGATGAGGTGAAGAGTCATATTAAAATGAAGTCTTCAGGTGCCAACCCTGATCAAAAGAAGAATGTGAAGTCTGCTAAGAAACTGAAGTTGTGACTTGCGTCTTCATTAGGCTCGCTGGTTGTGTAACATCACGAAACTTATAGCAGGTCTGTGACGTAGGCCAAACTTGTTGTTACTTTTGTATGTATATTAAATGACTTAAGTATACTGGTCGTCGGTCTGTATCTTAACATCCTTACCCTCCTAATTAGCCTCACTTACATGCAAGAAATATAGGTATCCCTATATTTAGGTGTTCTGTCCACTTTTGTGTAAGTGGGCACATCTTTTAGCGGAAAATATCGTGCTACCATGTTTCAGTGGCCATACAGACTTTGTGCTGCCATCTGTCATTGGTCATGACACCCATCAAATGTGGCATCCTCCATTATAACGTGATGTGTTCAGTGTACAAAATTGCATAAATGACCAGTCTTTATTCTCGACTTGTAATGACCTCCACTGTTCATGGGGCATTTTATGTATAAACTCCACTGTTCATGGGGCATTTTATGTAGAAATTGCAAGGACTGTGTTGCAGCGTTCAACAGCAATTGACTGTACACTTCCTCTTTTTTTTTCTTTATACTGCAAGAAAAGGGGTAATTTTTAAAAGTCATGCTTCTTGGAGGTATCGCCAAATACCTGATAGAGCTCATGCAATCAGTGTTGCGAAGTCTGGAGCATTGGTACACATCTCCTTGTATCCCAATCTTAGATAACCAAATTTAATCCTTGAATGTGTGGTACGTTCAGTTCTTTTATGCTAATATTTTAGAATCAAAAGTGGGTATACATACTATTTTAATAGAATGGGTAGTTTTACAGTTGCTGTTTCTTAAGGTTAAAATGTGGTTGGTTTAGAGTTTGGGTACTGGTATAAATTTTAATATGTAGCCAGAGAAGAGTGAATGTTTTATGTTTCTTAGATTTTCTTGTCATAAAATTGATTTCTCATGTGCTACAAATGACCTCTAAGAGTAGTAAGTACTCTGCTGTTTTGCTGCAATCATTGTGTGATTCAGTAAAATTTACATTCTGGTTTTAGATGAGTTTGCAAAATGTACAATTCCTATGAAGCGTGAGATGTTCTGACTGGACACTTCTCTGTGTCAGTATTTTGAAATTGGTTTGCAGCTTAAATTATGCCAGACTGTAGTTGGAGTTTTATTGCATATATTTTGTTGTATTTTAAACCTTTTTATTTTACAACTCGTGTGTGATATTAGTGACCAGTAGTTTGTTTTGAACATTACTTCATTGTGGCCTTGCTAGGTAAGTAATTGCAGTTCCCCCTTTCCCCTCTCATTTTATAATAACCTAAAGTTTCTGAGGATATATTTTGTATGTCTTTATGTGTAATTTATAATTCTGAATTTTCAATGTGGGGTATTTCCTTGTGGTTTGCCTGTGATGTTGGTATGTCATAAAGTCTTTCATTTTTTTATGGTAGGATTTTATAGACTGCTACTTTTACTGTACAGCTTAGGACAGATCTGGTACCAGTCATAGTAAAAATCTGCTGTTCTGACAGTTTGGTAGTCAGAAGCATTTAAGAATTATTTAACCATATCTGCTACATTTTGCATTGGCTGTGCTATGCCTTTTCTTAAGTTCATGCTGCACATATAAGACAAAATATGAAACCAGAGGCCCACTGTTTGTACAGCATTAATGTACAAACCTGCAATTAAGATCAATAGACCACCGTACATAGGTCCATTGTAGTGTGTGATATAACACATGGTTTCTGATAAATTGGAGAGAAGTTCAGTTTTTTGGCACTTCATTTGAAATTTGTGGGGAAGGTCTTTGTAGTTCTTTGCCTTTTGTATCTGGAGTTTAGTATATTGCTTCAGCTTTCAGTAGTAATCCAAACACTTAATATGTCTCAACCTGAAAACTGAGGTTATACTTTGCTGGTTCCAGTGATAGATAAGCCAACATTTAGCTGCTTGAGCCTTTGCACAAACTTAGTAATTTTATTTGTTGTATGTACACCTTATCAGAAAGAAATCTGTAACAGATGGATATGTAAATGATGTATTTTGTTTCATGTAGCTGTCTTTGCATAGCAATTTTTAATGCAGTTTGAACCATTATGGGTACCTATGAACCTGAATATTATCACTAGGCTACTTGCTGGTTAACTAGGGTTTTATTTCTGGTAGTGGCAGAGATTTCGCTTATGGCTAATGCGTCCAGACAAATTCTGGAGTCCCCCACGACCACTGCATTGGTTGACGTTGCTAAAGCGACCGGGACGTTAAGCTGGCCACAAATTCTTGTGTTATAGTTAAGAATCCTAGGAGTTACACCTCAATTCCTCCATAAGGCCTCATGGCGTGGTGCTTAATTAAGCATAAGGGACAAGTTTATGTTTTCGTTGTAAATATATTCTCCAAGATCCTATTGTGACATTCGGACTGTTTCGTGAAATGTCAATTTTAGTTCTCGGAAGCCGATGGAGTTGGAGTGACCAAATTTTTAGTGTTGTGTCTCGAATGCTTTGGCCGGTTTATGAATTGTATTCCAAGACATGAATAAACTTATTATTCTCCATTTGAAAATGAATACAATTTATTAGAGACTGAATAAATTTGGAACGTTGGTACTTCCGCATTATAGGGAGCGGCGGAAATGTTTCTATGCTTTGTGGTTAGGTGTCGGGATAAATTGTAGTGCAGTCTCGTTTCTTCGCGTTACTTACGAGAATGTTAAGATGGCTTCCATGTTCGTGTAAACAGAAAATTGTGTATATTTTAGAAAAAAAGTGTGTGTAAGTTGGCAAGTTTCCGTTACTTACATAAAATTATTTTAGATATCTGTGCAGTGAGACAAAAAAACTTATAACGCATGAATTTTAACTCAGATGTCTGCTGTAACTACTCAAACTGTAACAGGTAAATCGTGTGATATTGTCCTTGATTTCAATTTTGTGTGCATTGAAAAATACGAATTGCTTTGTTGTGGCCCACACATAGTATCCTGATGTTCGAGTGGTGAATTCCTTCAAATTGCTTGGTGTGTGAGTGAAAACTGAATTTTTCTGTTACATTCTGTGTTTTGGTGCTGCAAAACAGTTGTCGAAAGAAATGAACAGATTTTGTGTTTGATGAAGGTTGTCAGGTTATAGCCAAAAGTCACTCGTCGCATATTTTATGAAGAAACTAACAAAATTAATGACAGTAAGGTTAGGTTGTAACAATGCACTATGATAAGTTATCGATTATTATCTTTGTGTATGTCTTGCTTGGTCATTACTGTGCCAGTCGGTACCCTATAACCACCATAAAGCTTTTATGTGATTCTTAGTTTCCAATATTCTTACATGGCAGTACTACAAAACGGCCAGTATTCAGGTTGCCTGATTTTTCCATGACATCATACTGTTAACATTTATGCATGAAGGTTTATGAAATAATTTCTTAGATGTACCCATGTCCAACGATTGCAAGGTCTGTAATGTGGCTTCACCTCGCTCTTCAGGTATGCAGTGAGCCACCCCAAAATATCATACCTCCTTTGTCACCACCATTTAATAACCAGAAAACAGGGATTGAGGGATGAGATATCAATACAAATTATTTATTTGCTAAAAGTAAAGACAAATTAAATATTGTGTGCACTCTTAAAGTTTAAATTATAAAACTAAGTAGAATGTGTGAGACCTCAGGTTTTATGTGCAATTTAAAAGTAACGACTTAAAGAACACCGCAGTTACACTGGATAGAGTACACAGGTGGTAAAAAATGTTTAAGTTATTAACCTATATTAAAAATATGGGCTGAAGTGTAGTCCATTTGTTTTTTGGCTGGGCAGAAATGCATTTGGACTCTGTGTCACATTTATCTCAAGACCATTTGTTTCATGTCACAAGTAACTTCACTCACCGAAGTCTTGTTTTGGTTTAAAAGTGATGGATGGTGTTGAGATTGGTGCTGAGGGGAATGTTTAGATCTGAGGAAGAGGAAGTGACAGAAAGATGGAGACATTTTCATAGGGATGACCTTCATAATTTGCACTCTTCATGAAATAATATTAGGAATAGGATGTAATGGAGGATGAGATGGGGTGGACATTTAGCACATAAGGGGGAAGCTGAGATATGTAAAAAAAATTTTAGTTAAAATGTAAAGGGAAGATACATTGAGACTTTGTGTTGTTAAAATGTCTTGGATGTGGATTGATTCAACTGGCTCGTGACATGGGTCATCGTGTACACGGTAATGAGCTTGGCTGCCTCGTGGGATATTGTGCCGTGCAGTCTCGTATAAACTCACCGATGTTTCAGAGATTCTTACTGCCTCCATTTCCTTGATGAATGAGGCTCTAAGCACTTCTAAATGATGTCAATTTCTGCCAGATTGTATGGTCCTGTATACCAGAAGACAGTCATACTTGCCACTGCGAGAACCCGAAATCTCGTGTGGCAATAAACCTTTCGGTTGCATAAAAGTAGGGAAGTTTGTGATGGCCTGTGCAGTTGTTTTCTTAATTATTAATTCATCCATTCTACGTGTCTTTAGGAATGATAATGTATTCAAATTTAAGCAGCTGCGTAGGTGACTGTGTGTCACGTGTCCGTGTCTTTTGAAGTACATTGTTTGCCGGTGTTCCTGTCATACCTAAGCAGTTAATACAGATCCAGTTCAGGTTTACAGATAATCATAGAGCTGCGTAAGCATGTTATGAAACATATTACAGGCATGGTAAAGGGCGATTAGACTGATTTTGTGATTTTGTTTGCAGGGACTGACCCCAGCAAGGTCATCCAGAAACGCCACGCTGGCTCAATAGGGTGAGTGATTACACTTCATGTTCTTGCCGTGTTTGTTCACGAGGACCATTGCATTTTACTTTGGAATTATTATTGTTTTCTTCTGCGAAATACAACAGCCGATCTCAACAGTAGGTTGGGAATGCTGTCAGTTGTGGCCTTACAACAGCCGATCTCAACAGTAGGTTGGCAACGCTGTCAGTTATGGCCTGGAAGTGGTATGAGTTGTTTCTGTCCTAAGCAGTTCAGTTTAGCGCAGTTTATCGTTGTTGCGTCTTGCGTGAGCCACCTCACTCGGCGTTAATGTAGACTTGCCAACATTTGTGAGTAGTCTGTACCGCGTGACCGACTGGAGCCGGCTTATAAACCTCAGAAATGTCAGCATATGAAATGGGATGTGGCATAGGATCTGATCCTCG